ATCAGCTCGGCTTAGCACAGCATGGCACAGGTCGGCTTGGCATGGCTCAGCTTGGCTCAGCACAGCATGGCACAGCGCAGCTTGGCATGGCTCAGCTCGGCTCAGCACAGCTCAGCTCGGCTCAGCACGGCGTGGCACAGGTCAGCTTGGCATGGCTCAGCTCGGCTCAGCACAGCGTGGCACAGCTCAGCTTGGCATAGCTCAGCTCAGCTCAGCACAGCGTGGCACAGCTTGGCTTGGCACGGCTCAGCTCGGCTCAGCACAGCATGGCACAGCTTGGCTTGGCATGCCTCAGCTCAGCTCAGCACAGCGTGGCACAGTGCGGCTTGGCATGGCTCATCACAGCTCAGCACGGCTCAGCACAGCTCAGCTCGGCTCAGCACAGCGTGGCACAGCTCGGCTTGGCATGGCTCAGTGCAGCTCAGCACGGCTCAGTGCGGCTCAGCTCAGCTCAGCACGGCTCAGCTTGGCTCAGCACGGCGTGGCACAGCTCAGCTTGGCATGGCTCAGCTCGGCTTAGTACAGCGTGGCACAGCGCAGCTTGGCATGGCTCAGCTCGGCTCAGCACAGCGTGGCACAGCTCGGCTTGGCATGGCTCAGCTCGGCTCAGCACAGCTGGGCACAGCTTGGCTCGGCTCATCACAGCATGGCACAGCTCAGCTCAGCTTAGCATAGCATGGCACAGCTCAGCTTGGCATGGCTCAGCTCGGCTCAGCACAGCGTGGCACAGCTCGGCTTGGCATGGCTCAGCTCAGCACAGCACAGCACAGTACAGAGCTGCTTGGCTCAGTTTGATACAGCCCAGCCAGCACGGTTCGACTCACTCCAGCTCAGCCCAGCATGGCAATGACATGGAAGGCAGTTCAGCACAGCGCAGCTCAGCCTGGCACATTTTGGCTCAGCTCAGCATGGGATGGCAAGGGGGCCAGCATGGCTCAGCCCAGCATGGTTCAGTGCAGCTCAGCTGGGTTGGCATATTCTGGCTTGGCTCAGCTCAGCATGGCACGACATGGTGCTGGCACGATTCAGTTTGGTACAGCATGGCACAGCCAGGGGCCTGACCTGGTTTAGCTCCACTTGGCCTGTCCCAGTTTCACTCAGCACAGTTCAGCTCGGGCTGACATGGACAATCAGGGCTGGCACAGTTTGGCTCGGCACAGCACGACTCAGTTTGGCCCAGCACAGCATGGTGCCACCAGGGACCAGCACCATTAGGGCCAGCTTGGCACAGCTCAGCCTGTCATGGCACGGCTCGACTTGGCACAGCCCAACCCAGCACTGCAGCGTGGTGTGGCCAGCAGCTGGGCAGCGCTCACGTGGGTGCAAGAGGGGGCCTGCTCGGGTGGCAGTGGGGTGATGCAGCACCCACCACAGCGCCCTGGGGCAGGAGGCTCCCCGCGGCCCCCCACCCCGGCAATCACGCTGGCGCCCTGAGCCCCGCTGCCCGGGGGTGAGTACGCGCTGCTGGCTCCTGTCTGGCCTGCTCGTTCCAGCCCCCACCCTGTGCTGCCAGGCACCCCCGGGCACACGGGGTAGGATGGCCGTGCTTCACCTCCACCTTTCCCCTAGCAGGTCCAGGAGGGTCTGCTGCACCCCTTTGGGGAAACTGAGGCAGGGGAAGGAGACGGCGGGCAGTAGCTGGGGGTGGTGGGAGTGGTTCGGCACTGGTTCCCAGGGGAGCCCGGGTGTCCTGCTCCTCCCCTTTCCGCCCGGGGCCCCGGCTATTACTCATCTCCTTCCCAGACAGCACAGCCGGCCCGGAAACCCCTGCCGGCAACGCCCGCGGCCCCTGACTGCCGGCAGGCTGGGTGGGCGCAGCGCCGAGGCCTGGGAGGGTGGGCTTGCTGTGCCAGGCTGGCAAGCTACCCCTGGGGTTGCTCAGCCCCGGCGCAGGAAGAAGTCCCTGCAGTTTTTCTGGGCAGCCCCTGTCCACCGGTGCCTGCCTTGAACCCTGCCCAGCCTGGCTGCAGGCAGCCCAGTACGTGTGCCCTGTCCTTGCACCGAGGGGTCCCAGGGCATGGGGATGGGGCACTCCCCAGGTTGTTTGTGGTGCTGGAACCGAGCATGGCACCCCTCACATGGCCTTGACATGTCCACCCCTGGCCCAACTCTCCTGCCGTCCCCTTGTGGCCTTGCTGTCCCCCTTGCCATGCCCCCCACTCATGGCCAGCTCCTGCCATGCCTGGACTTTTCCCAGCCTCCACTGGGCTCAGCTGCCCCCATGCCCTTTCCCAAATGAGTAACCAGGGCTTCCAGGCCAGGCGTCAGGGCTCTGCGCCCTGGCTCATCATGTGGCCCCACACCCCATTAAGCACTGCATCCCCACCCCCCTGCCCCGGCACCCCCCACATGGCCCTCCCAGCCTTTACCGCTGTGCCCAGCTGGCACCAGGAAGGGTAGGCAGCGCCCAGGGCAAGGCAGACACCAACACACCTCCCAGCTCCCTCCATGTCCCTGTGCCTGCACCAGTGGTTCCCAAACTGTCCACCCCCCCACATCCCAGCAGGAGAGCAGCAGTGTCCTATGGGGCTGGGCACCGTGCCAAGCACTCTGCCAGGGGCATGGGCCACGGCTGCCCACACCGCACTCCGGTGCACCCACAGAGCCTGCCTCAGGTAAGCACCACAGAGCAGCACTGGGTCTGGGGGACAATGTCTCCCGTAATAGCAATGCCTCAAATGACCCATGCCAGCAAGAGGGTGGGCGTCACACTCACAACCCCTTGGCCCTGGTGTCGTGGTTTAACCCAGCTGGCAACTCAGCACCACGCAGCCACTCGCTCACTTCCCCCTCCCTCAGTGGGATGGGGGAGAGAATCGGGAAGAAAAAAAAGGTTAGAGCAGTGGGCTGAGATAGAGACAGTTTAATAAGAGAAAATAATAGTAATAGTAATAATGAGAATGGTAAGAGAATATACAGAATATACAAAACGAATGATGCGCAATGCAATTGCTCACCGCCCACCGCCCGATGCCCAGCCCGTCCTGAGCAGCGATCACTCCCCAAGCCACCGACCGACTAACCCCCCCCAGCATGACGTTCCATGGGCTGGAATAGCTCTGTGGTCAGTTTGGGTTAGCCGTCCTAGCTGTGCTCCCTCCCAGCTTGTTATGCCCCTGGCCGAGCAGGAGAAGCTCAAAAAGTCCTTGAGTAGTCTGGGCACTACTTGGTAACAACTAAAACCATCCGTGTGTTATCAACATTCTTCTAGCACTAAATCCAAAGCACAGCACTATGCCAGCTACTATGAAGAAAATTAACTCTATCCCAGCCGAAACCAGGACACTTGGGCACAAGCTGGCAGAAAGACCTCAGAGCTGGGACAGCCAAGTCTGGCAACGCTGCGGGCATGGCGACGCCTGCAGTGTGGGTACCACCAGCTGACCGGGCTGCTCAGCGCCAGTGGCCTCCAGGTCACTCTGCCCACCTCGGTGCCGTGGTCCCTGGGCTTGATGCCCATCTCTCAGCTGGGGAAAGCGAGGCACTGGGCAGCCTGGTGGTAGCGTGAGGCTGGTCTGGGTGCACGCCCCCAGGCTCTGTGCCTGCTCCGGGCAGCGCGTACCAGCTTGCAGCAGTGGGCACAAAGGTGCCGAGAGTCGGCAAGGGGTGGGGAGGAGCTGGAGGGGCTCTCACCGCAGCGGAGCTCGCCGCCAGGCTCCAGCCCCCCTCCCCTGGGACCCCAGGGAGCTCCTGGCCCTTTAAACCTTGATTGGGGCCGTGCCTTTAAAACGGGCCCTGGGGGCCGGGAGCTCTCACCCTGCAGGAGGAGGCTGGCCAGGAGCAGGTGGGCTGAGCGAGCTGATCCTCCCCACCCACCCCACTTCACTCCCCCCCTCC